GCCCAAGAAAGTAAAATCTCTTACTGCCTCCATTTTTTCCCATTCTATTTGCCAGGAGGTGATGGGACAGGTGGCCATGATCTTCATTTTTTTGATGTTGAGCTTCAGACCATATTTTGCGCTCTCCTCTTTCACCCTCAATAAAAGTTTCTTTAATACCTCCTCACTTTCTGCCATCAAGGTTGTGTCATCTGCATATCTGAGGTTGTTGATATTTCTTCCGGCAATCTTAATTCCGGTTTTGGATTCATCCAACCCAGCCTTTCACATGATGAATTCTGCATATAAGTTAAATAAGCAGGGAGACAATATACAGCCTTGTCGTACTCCTTTCCCAATTTTGAACCAATCAGTTGTTCCATATCCAGTTCTAACTGTAGCTTCTTGTCCCACATAGAGATTTCTCAGGAGACAGATGAGGTGATCAGGCACTCCCATTTCTTTAAGAACTTGCCATAGTTTGCTGTGGTCGACACAGTCAAAGGCTTTTGCATAGTCAATGAAGCAGAAGTAGATGTCTTTCTGGAACTCTCTAGCTTTCTCCATAATCCAGCGCATGCTTGCAATTTGGTCTCTGGTTCCTCTGCCTCTTCTAAATCCAGCTTGCACTTCTGGGAGTTCTCGGTCCACATACTGCTTGAGCCTTCCTTGTAGAATTTTAAGCATAACCTTGCTAGCGTGTGAAATGAGTGCAATTGTGTGGTAGTTGCAGCATTCTTTGGCACTGCCCTTCTTTGGGATTGGGATGTAGACTGATCTTCTCCAATCCTCTGGCCACTGCTGAGTTTTCCAAACTTGCTGGCATATTGAGTGTAGCACTTTAATAGCATCATCTTTTAAAATTTTAAATAGTTCAGCTGGAATACCATCACTTCCACTGGCCTTGTTATTTGCAGTGCTTTCTAAGGCCCATTTGACTTCACTCTCCAGGATGTCTGGCTCAAGGTCAGCAACCACACTACCTGGGGTGTACGAGACATCCATATCTTTCTGGTATAATTCCTCTGTGTATTCTTGCCACCTCTTCTTGATGTCTTCCGCTTCTGTTAGGTCCTTTCCACTTTTGTCCTTTATTATGGTAATCTTCGTACGAAATGTTCCTTTCATATCTCCGATTTTCTTGAACAGATCTCTGTTTTTTCCCATTCTGTTGTTTTCCTCTATTTCTTTGCATTGCTCATTTAAGAAGGCCTTCTTGTCTCTCCTTGCTATTTTTTGGAAATCTGCATTCAATTTCCTGTATCTTTCACTATCTTCCTCGCATTTTGCTTGCCTTGTCTCCCCCGCTATTTGTAAGGCCTTGTTGGACAGCCACTTTGCTTTCTTAAATTTCTTTTTCATTGGGATGGTTTTCGTTGCTGCCTCCTGTATAATTTTGCAAGCCTCCACCCATAGTTCTTCAGGCACTCTGTCCAGCAAATCTAAATCCTTGAACCTGTTCCTCACTTCCACTGTGTATTCATAAGGGATTTGGTTTAGATTGTATCTTACCGGCCCAGTGGTTTTTCCTACTTTCTTCAGTTTAAGCTTCAATTTTGCTATAAGAAGCTGATGATCTGAGCCACAGTCAGCTCCAGGTCTTGTTTTTGCTGACTGTATAGAGCTTCTTCATCTTTGGCTGCAGAGAATATAATCAATCTGATTTCGATGTTGCCCATCTGGTGATGTCCATGTGTAGAGTCGTCTCTTGTGTTGTTGGAAAAGCGTGTTTGTGATGACCTGCTTGTTCTCTTGACAGAACTCTATTAGCCTTTGCCCTGCTTCGTTTTGATCTCCAAGACCAAACTTGCCAGTTGTTCCTTTTATCTCTTGATTCCCTACTTTAGCATTCCAATCCCCTATAATGAGAAGAACATCCTTCTTTGGTGTCACTTCTATAAGGTCTTGTAAGTCTTCATAGAATTGGTCAATTTCAGTTTCTTCAGCACCAGTAGTTGGTGCATAAACTTGGATTACAGTGATGTTAAAAGGTCTGCCTTGGATTCGTATCGAGATCATTCTATCATTTTTGAGATTGCATCCCAGTACAGCTTTCACCACTCTTTTGTTGACTATGAGGGCTACTCCATTTCTTTTACGGGTTTCTTGCCCACAGTACTAGATATGATAGTTATCCAAACTGAATTCGCCCATTCCCGTCCACTTTAGTTCACTGATGCCCAGGATGTCAATATTTATTCTTGCCATCTCATTTTTGACCACATCCAACTTACCCAGGTTCATGGTTCTTACATTCCAGGTTCCTATGCAATATTTTTCTTTACAGCATTGGACTTTCCTTTCGCTTCCATGCATATCCGCAACTGAGCGTCCTTTCGGCTTTGGCCCAGCCGCTTCATCAGCTCTGAATCTACTTGTACTTGTCCTCCGCTCTTCCCCAGTAGCAAGTTGGACACCTTCCGACCTGAGGGGCTCATCTTCCAGCGTCAAAACTTTTATATGCCTGTTGTCTTTGTCCATGGAGTTTTCTTGGCAGGGATACTGGAGTGGCTTGCCGGTTCCTCCTCCAGGTGGATCACGTTTGGTCAAAACTCTCCACTATGACCTGTTCATCTTGGGTGCCCTGCTTGGCATAGTTCATAGCTTCTCTGAGTTATTCAAGCTCCTTCGCCACGGCAAGGCAGTGATCCATGAAGGGGGATTTAATCTATAGGCTACCACTAAAGCTTTAATCTATAGGCTACCACTAAAACGAAGCTGCATTTTAAGCTGCATTTTAAACCGTAATCTAACTTATATTTTAATCAACTGTTTGTTTGGTGTGCTTTTGTTGTTTTGTTTTGCCTTTAATGTTTTTCCTGTATTTATATTTGGTGTTAGCCGCCCTAAGCCCGGTCTTGGCCGGGAAAGGCGGGGTATAAATAAAAATTTATTATTTATTATTATTATTACTAGTCAAGACTTTAGGCTCTGGAAAAGCAGCCATGAGCAGAGCAAGGCAAAGTGAGGTGCATATTCCTTGTAGCACCATGGACAGTTCGTGTGGAGCTCAGCCTGGCAAGCAAACTCAGATGTTGCTTCAGCTGAGTCCTGAATAGAGATTCAGTTCTGTCTAGGTTGCCTGTTGAGTTGGGAGCAGCCTCTTCCAGGCAGAGGAGCTTTGCTTCCTTATTTGTTCATCTTTCTATTCATTCAGAGTACAGTGGTGCCTCGCAAGACGAAATTAATCCGTTCCGCGAGTGTCTTCGTCTAGCGGTTTTTTCGTCTTGCGAAGCAACCCTATTAGCGGCTTAACGGATTAGCGCTATTAGCGGTTTAGCGGCTATTAAAGGCTTATCAGCTTAGCGGATTAGCTGCTAAAAGGCTATTAAAGGCTTAGCGGCTTAGATAAAGGGGGGGGGAGTGAAAAAAAAATCTCAAGACTCGCAAGACATTTTCGTCTTGCGAAGCAAGCCCATAGGGAAATTCGTCCTGCGAAGCAACTCAAAAACAGAAAACCCTTTCGTCTAGCGGGTTTTCCGTCTTGCGAGGCATTCGTCTTGCGGGGCACCACTGTATTTGTGCCCTGCTCTTCAGCCAAAGAGGCTCCTGGAGTGGCTTACATACTATCGAAACAAGGCAGCTCCTACCTGCATGCTTACCATCTAAAGAAAAAGAGGGAACGCGTGACACACAAGGGAAGAGAGACAGGGAGGGAAGAGGAAGGTAAAAGTCAAAGCTCAGGCATCAAATTCTAAACAGTTGTTCCTACAATGACCAGCTGGCACAGTTCAAGGGGCAGGGGGTTCCTGATGGAACTTGGCCTCCAGCAATGCTGATAAAATGAGCCCCACTTCCTATCTCTCCCCCAGAGGTAGCCTGATGAAAGGGCTTCCCCTAAATGACAAGTGAGGGGAGATGTGGCCTGAAGGAGCTGCCCTGTCACAGCAGAGCTGATGGAATAAGCTCTGCTTCCCAGCTCTCCTACTGCTGGAATGGCTGTCGTCAGAAGACAGCTGAGGGCGAGGAGGTTTGATAGAGCTGGTCTGTCACAGCAGAGCTGATTGGCTCCAACAGCACAAGGGCATTTGTGGCTCGGCTGGGGCTTTCAGGCCAGAGTGCTCTGGCTCAGAGGATGTCAAAAACAGATGTTGCAGTGAGCCAGGCTCCTGGTGTGGATCGGTTTTCTCCTGGGCCCATGACCCCATCTCCTGAACCTGGGGAGTCTGACAAACAATGACGTCATACCACTGTGGTCTGATGCTATCATATCACAGGCTTCTGTAAGAAACATAATAGTGGTGGCCCCAGCCCCTCTGGGAGGCTTCTAGCAAAATATAAAAACACAATAAATAAATATTAAAACATCATTAAAACATTAAAAAAAACTTTCCTATATAGGATGGCCTTCGCTGTCTTCTAAAAGTCAGATAGTTGTTTATCTCCTTGACATCTGATGGGAGGACGTTCCACAGGGCGGGCAGCACTACCAAGAAGGCCCTCTGCCTGGTTCCCTGCAATCTCACTTCTCACAGTGAGGAAACCACCAGAAGGCCCTTGGAACTGGATGTCAGGATCTGAGCTGAACGATGCGGGTGGAGACGTTCCTTCAGGTATGCACATGGGGTGAGAGCCAATGCTAGCCCTACTCAGAGTAGATCCATTGACATTAATGAGCCTGAATTGATTATACCCATTCATTTTTAAGACGTCTACTCTGAGTAGGTCTAGCATTGGTTACAACCCATTAATTTCAATGGATCTATTATGAGTAGCATTGGAGTCAACCCATGGGTTGCCACAGCCAAGCAGATTACCTACAGGAAACTGCCTTAGACCGAGTCAGGCCATTGGTCTATATCAGGCATGGCCAAACTTGGCCCTCCAGCTGTTTTGGGACTACAACTCCCATCATCTCTAGCTAACAGGACCAGTGGTCAGGGATGATGGAAACTGTAGTCCCAAAACAGCTGGAGGGCCAAGTTTGGCCATGCCTGGTTTATATAGTTCAGTATTGTCTGCACTGACTAACAGCGATTAGTCTCCAAGGCTTCAGACTGAGAGCCTTTCCTAATTGTATCTGGAGATGCCTGGGATCGAACCTGGAACTTTCTGCATGCAAAGCAGATGCACTCCCACTGAGCTAAGTCTCTTCTCCTTTGAAGGGCTGTGAGATAAAGAAAGGGAAAAAGAAAAATAGTGCTTAGAAGGAGCAGCCAGGGCATCAACATTTTCTATACAGCAGTGAACCATCATGAATGTTCAGCAAGCTAAGTTCAGCTATGTCAGCCATGCTAATTTCCAAAGCAAATGTTGCTGTGGGAGAATGTTCAGTACAGCCTTTGCTTTGGGTTATAGAGATACACAGGAATGATCCAGGATAGGGATATAACATATTATGCACTGCTTATAGCCTCAGCTACAATGGTTACTAATGCAGTTCTGGTCCATTATTTCTCAATAACCCCCCATCCCAAATTAATTGTAAGCCATGCCAACCACAAATGGCTCCCAGCAAGTCACAGTGGCTTAAGATGTTTTAAAATGGTAAGTCTAGCAAAATGTCCATTATCCGATTTCCATATATACCTTCTCCAAGCTGCAAGGCATTACTTTATAAAATGCACCACTGTTCATTGTGAAGTAACATCAAAAATGAAAAATCCCAAGGCCAGTTTGGTATATTGTATCTCATGGAATGCAGAAAATGTCAACTGGAGGCAGGCAGGCAGGAAGGAAGGTGGATGGGTCTGATGGATTATTTCTGTTCCCCAAAGGAAAGGTAGAAGAGATGTCAGTCTGCAATCTTAACCCCACTCACATGGGAACAAGCACCACTGAATCCAACAGGACTTGCCTTTGAGCAAACATGATTAGAACTGCAGCCTCAGCTCCATCACCAGAGGACTCAAATTTTGTTCACTTCTTAGATTAAAGGTGGGGAACCTGTGGTGTACAGAAGCTGCTGAACTACAACCCAAATAGTAGCCCCGGGCACTGGCAACCCACGCTATGCTAACTCCACTGTCAGGAACATCATGCCTCTAAAAACAAGTTGCTGTGATTCACAGTTGGGGAGAGTGCTGTTGCACTTATGTCCTGCTTGTGGGCTTCCCATTGGGGCATCTGGTTGGCCACTGTAGGATCCAGATGCTGGGCCAGATGTGCTGTTGATCTAACCCAACAGGCTTGTCTGATGTCCTTATGAGAAGAAGCATGTCCACAATTTTTCTTCAGACTTGGCAAAACCCCATAAAAATGAGCACATTGTGTGATCTAAGCATTTTCATAGAAATATTTAACATGCCAATTCCCATTGTTGCAGTCGACCTGCAGATATGGTGTCACCCTCCTGGTTGCAACAGCACTGCTGCCTCTTGCTGGGGCCAGGATGGGTCTGGGCAGGGTAGCAGCAAGGACAGGTGAGCACCATGGGCAGCTGGCATGGTGACTGCCAATCCAGTGCTCCCTCACATTCTTAGCACTACCCCAGTCCCAGAGAGTGACAGAGCTTTTCCAGTCAATAAGGCCGTTCAGCTGAGAAGCCCCAACTCATAGCACGTTCCTAATCCCAGGCACGGGAACTGATACAAAGAGGGACAATAGCCCAGAGTTTTACAACCCCCTGACTGCATTACTCTTAGGTAAAGGTAAAGGGACCCCTGACCATTAGGTCCAGTTGTGGCCGACTCTGGGGTTGCGACGCTCATCTCGCTTTATTGACCAAGGGAGCTGGCGTACAGCTTCCGGGTCATGTGGCCAGTATGACTAAGCCGCTTCTGGCGAACCAGAGCAGCACACAGAAACGCTGTTTACCTTCCCGCTGAAGAGGTACCTATTTATCTACTTGCACTTTGACGTGCTTTCGAACTGCTAGGTTGGCAGGAGCAGGGACCGAGCAACAGGAGCTCACCCCGTCATGGGAATTCAAACCACCGACCTTCTGATCGGCAAGTCCTAGGCTCTGTGGTTTATCCCCCAGCGCCACCCGCATCCCTCATTACTCTTACTGTTGTGCAAATATTTTGTTAAACACAAGCTCATCAGTACTGCCCTGATTAAACAAGACTCCCTTGTGGAGGACCAGAGTTCATTGAAGAAGAAAAGAGTGATGAGATTCTGGAGGAGGCCAGAGCAGTGTGAGCAGTGGGAACATAGTTAACGTGAATGATTGCACACGTAGGCAGCCTGAAGCAACGAGACGCTGACTAGCGAGAACCCATTTCATTTGCATATCTCATGGCAGAGGAATTATTCCTTGGTGAAGAGTCCATTGATAAATGAAGTGCCAGTTGTCCAGAGCCTATACGGAGGAGGACAGGGTCTAATTTTGGCTCCAGCAGTTTCACAGTGCATCCACTGAAACAGTGAGAGGAGTGGAGCACAGTCTAACTCAGGCTTCCTCAAACTTGGCCCTCCAGATGTTTTGAGATTACAGTTCCTATCATCCCTGACCACTGGTCCTGCTAGCTAGGGATCATGGGAGTTGTAGGCCAAAAACATCTGGAGGGCCAAGTTTGAGGAAGCCTGGTCTAACTTGTCCATGTTCTGACAATAACCCCACATGCAGAAGAGTGTTTCCCCAGGGGGACTTTATTTCTCCTGAATCCAAACTGGTGTCATACATTCACCACTGCCAAGATCTAAGGATATAAGAAGATCTCTGCTTGGTCAGGGCAAAGGCCTATGTGGTCCAGCATCATGTTTTCACAGTGTCTAACCAGATGCCCATGGGAAGCTGGCAAGCAGGAACTGAACACAGCAGCACCCTCCCCACTTGGATTGCCAGCAGCTGGTATTCATAGACATACTGTTTCCAACAGTGGAAGTAGAACACAGGTATGGTTATTAGCCTCTCTCTCTCTCTCTCTCTCTCTCTCTCTGTGTGTGTGTGTGTGTGTGTGTGTGTAAAGGAGATTCCAACTGAACATTAAGGAAGAACTTTCTGATAGTAAGAGATGTCCAATTGTGGAATGGACTCTCCATCATTGGTGGTTTTTATGCCATCTGTCAGGAATTCTTTAGCTGTGATTCCTGCATTGCACGGGGTTCAACTAGACAATTCTTGGGGTTACCTCGTCCAACACTACAATTCTATTATTATTCTACACACACACACACACACACACACACACACACCCTAGTCTTGTAACATGGTGAAATAAGCCATCTTGCAAGTGTGATGGGAGAGGCGGCAGACCAACAAGGGAACCGCTTCCTTTTATCTGTATCTCCTTAATTGTCCCTGCATTTCATCTGTCTCACCAACGAAGAATCTAGAAGGTGCCTATGGCATCTAGCCAGTTTGAAATCATTGATTCAGTCACCCTCATTTCCCTTTCCCATTTTTTTCCTTCTCATTTCTGAGACATATATTATTATTATTTCTTAAACCCTGTTTCCAAATGAAGTTTAACTCTTTCCCAAAGACTGTTGGCTATAATTCTTCTTTCCATTGCATCAGTTCTTGAAGAATTCTTAATTATTGTTGATGCCTGGGAGAAACTATGGTAAAGAGACAAATTAACAAGTCAAAAGCACACTGGTTCTCAGGGAAGTGATACTGATATGAGAGTGAGCGGGGAGAAGGAGGGAGGCGAGCTGGGTAATTCATCTCACCTATCTTGACCTGATGCATCTGTTCATTATTTGAAAGCTGTAAATTGAGATGCAAGACTATAGCACACCACTGGCGATGGCTTAAAATGACAATGCTTTCTCTAGCTCATAGAGCCTCTTTTAGGCTGAATCCAAACCAGCAATATTTTCATGTGATCCTCCACTGATATTGGTGCAGTATTTGAAAGGAGATAGTTTGGTTAAATTCTGCTATGCATTCCCCAGCAAGCAGAGCACCTTTGATGGGTGGAACAGAGGCTCTGGGGAGCTGGGTCCTTCAAGCTCACAAGATCCTGCAGAAAGGCCTTATTCACCAGCACATAGTTAAACAACGGCACTCACCTCCCAGAGGAGGCAGTGATAGCCACCAACTTGGATGGCTTTAAAAGATGATTGAACAAATTCATGGAGGAGAGTGTGGGACGAATCCAAGGGGGCAATTGGCAGGCCCCCAGCTGGCTCCAGTCCACTGGCCAGCAGCTAGGCGATCTCTGCTCCTTGGATCAGTATGTAACTGCGACTCGAGCTTCAGAAACCTTCAGAAGCTGACCATGCAACCAGCAGAGAATAAAACTCTTTGCAACAGAAGGGCAGATAGAGGCTGTGTAAAGCATATTTGCAGGCATTTTATCCAGCATCAGGACAAAGGGGAAAACATGTCTTCTCCCCTTCGTGTCCAAGCAAGCAGCATAAGCAAAAGCTATACACACAACGGAAGTTCCCAGCAAGCTGTGCTGGAATGTAAACAGGCATGTGACATACAATAAATCCACACATCTTTTAAGGTGGAACAGAATATCCTAACAGAGAGGACTATTGATAGCTATTAGCCATGATGCTCTGCATCCACAGCTGGAGGCAGCGACCCCTCTGAATACCAGTTGCTGGAAACTAGACCCTCCATGAAAAACTGCTTTCTTTCATCTGGTGGATCACTGTGAGAACAGGATGCTGGACGAGATGAGCTATTAGACTGATCCAGTAGGTTCTTCTCATGGTTTTATGCCTTTATGCAGGTGGAGCTGTGGTCTAAACCACTGAGCCTCTTGGGCTTGCTGATCAGAAGCTTGGCAGTTCAAATCCACACAACGGGGGGAGCTCTGGTTGCTCTGTCCCTGCTCGTGCCTACCTAGCAGTTCGAAAGCATGCCAGTGCAAGTAGATAAATAGGTACCGCTGTGGCAGGAAGGTAAACGGCGTTTCCGTGTGCTCTGGTTTCCATCACAGTGTTCCATTGCACCAGAAGCGGTTTAGTCATGCTCGCCACATGACCTGGAAAACTGTCTGTGGACAAACGCCGGCTCCCTCGGCCTGAAAGTGAGATGATAATAATAATAATAATAATAATAATAATAATAATAATAATAATAATAATTTATTATTTGTACCCCGCCCACCTGGCTGGGTTTCCCCAGCCACTCTGGGCAGCTTCCACAGAGACCAAAAATACATTAAAATGTCACACATTAAAAACTTCCCTGAACAGGGCTGCCTTAAGATGTCTTCTGAATGTCAGGTAGTTGTTTATCACTCTGACATG